TTTCCAGCACCTGCTTATCAGGAAACCCCAGGGCAGGTCTTGCCCAGTCCCCTACCAACAAGCTGCTGGTCTAGCTAGCTCTACTCACACTGACATTGTGGCTTGGCTTCTTAGTAGGATTTGCTCTTAACCTATGGTCATAGTGATCTCTGCAAACTACAAGTCCCAAAATTCCTTTGATCTGGGAGGAAGCCAAACACAGAGCAGAGCCAGGATTTCTCTTAAAGGCCTGCCTTGTCCTGTGTCAAGGCCACTTGAGTACTTCTAATGCAAATGTAAATATGCTAGTCATGAATAGAGCTAGTCAGAAATTATTGTCAATTTTTCTCCCAACAACAACAAAAGCCATTTTTGTTAAAATCAACACACTGACAAATGTTTTCATTTTGTTAAAAGATCATTTGGAAAAAAAGACATAAAGCACTTTGAGAATCTTGAAACATCCCACTTCAAAATTTTCAATATGGAAAATTTAGAATTTTTGTTTCAAAATGACTTTTTGAAAATAAATTCATTTTTATATAAAAATAGTTAAAAAGTGATGAAAGCTCAAAATCAAAACAAAACATTTCACTCAGCCTGAGATTACTTTTTTTCAAAATTCCATTTTGCAGGAAGTTTTGAAATTTTTAAATTATGTTTCATTTTGGAATGGAAAATATTCAAAATCACAACATTTTGAATCACATGAATCACATGAAACAGAAAATCTGGTTCGTACCCAGTTCTGTTTATGAGCGCACTATAGTAGGAGTTGAAAAGCCCCTTTTCACAAGTATTTATGTAAGTGTAATTAATCCCCCTGGGACTGACAGTAGTGTTTGAATCTGGGACCTTCAGCATTAAAACTATATTTTGGTACTTTTATCTGCTCATCATCCCTACTATTTGAGACCTCAAAAAACGCATCACCGCCTGTAAGTTATTGTCCCCATTTTGCAGATGGGGAAGTGAAAAGACAGAGTAAATTAAGTGATTTTCCAGGTCATGCAGGAAGTCTGTCGCTAAACTAGGACCTAAACCCAGGTCTCCCTGGCTAAAGCCAGTGCCCTATCCAGTATACTATCCTCCCTCTACTGTTTGAGCAAAGGATTAAACCTCTTGTTTTGGTGAAGTGAGAGCTAAGTCCGTTAGCTAGAAGTAGTAATAAAATGTATAAATCTCTCATGTACAGCAGCCACAAGAGGAAGACAGAGACCCACACGGTCCTAGAGTGAATTACATGTGGAAAGTATAATCACAAAAAGGGGGGTGAATACATTGAATTTATTTTTATTTTATTTATTTTAAAATTCTTGTGGAAAGGTTACTATGATGTTTGTCCCATGCTAGTTTAAAAGTAGTAACAATTCTTAGAGACTTTGTAATATAGAAGCTGCACTTTGGCATGTGTTCTACACCTTCTTGTCCTCTTTGCCATCAAAATGATACAAGTCATGTTCCTGTTATAGCAGCAGTTAGATTATTATCTGCTAAGCACAATGGGCCAAAATGTGTGGGGCACAGGATTGTTTTAGATCTGAAATCAATTTTAGAGTTACTGCTGGTAATACAGCTACTGTCCCCATAATGGAAAGTGATTTGTGCAGCAAAAACAGGAAATTTAGATTATTTACCTCTTTGTAGGCTAAACCCCCTATTCATTCGATGCAGTTGGTGGACCAAGCCAACAACAGAAGTGAGTGGGGGGAAAAGATCAATGAGTGGAGGAAATTCAGCTTCCTGGTCCCTCCATAAGAAAAATGGCAAAGGAACAGCATGTAGCCCAATGCATTTTCTTTGTACAATTACCTAATCATTATCTGGAAATGCATATTTGGGTAAAGAGCCCAAAAACATTTTTGGAGATAAGGATCATCTCGTGAAGCAACCTATACAACACATTTTTGAACACTTATCTAATTTTCAGTATACTGAAACCTCTCACACCATATCATACTGCAGTGAGTCCAATGTAAAATTGGAAAGTTCTTCTATGAAAGTATAGTTTAAAATGGGGAAAACCCAAAACATATCTATGTAATAGTTGGAATTAATTATGGTATTGCAGTTTTATTTGATTGTTTTTTGTGTTGCAAAGATGTCAGATATAAGAATAGAATATTTTCATAATACACGGGCATTAGCACTTTTTCTCATCATCCTCAACTTCTGTAGTACCTTCCCTCAACTATAGGAGCCAATCCTGCAAACATGCACATGAACAATGTTATTCCCAGGAGTAATCCCAGTGACTTCAGTGGAACTACTAATTGGTCAAAAGTTACTGAGGATGCCCACTTCAGTGGTTGGGCCTCTGGGCATGACTATTTAAAAGGCTCTTTTTGAGAGTCAGCCCATCGTTTTTAATGGACAGTTGTAGTTAGCACTTATGCTAGGCTCTGACAGAATTACCTGCCATTTCCAGATTTTTTTAAAACAATATTCCCAATCCTTAGAATAAACTGGACTATTCCTGCTGACCCATTCCACTAAGTGTCTTTCTGTGTAAAAATCCTTGCTTTGGTTTCCTGTGGGAAAACATATACTATTTATGGAGTGAAATAAAATCTTCTATAATTGGGCACAATGAGTTACAGAAAATTATAGCTAAAATTGTGTATTTAAATAGCTTATTTTGCTAGTGATTTCTCCCTCAGTAAAACTTCTGCTGAATGGATCCTTATGTTTTGGGATACATCTTTTCCTTAATGTAGATGCATATCCCTCATTTATATCAGAGGGCGTTACCTGTGAGTCGAGGACTAGACCATGCAAACCCTTCCTCACATTAATAGTCTTTATTCATGCAAGTATTCCTATTGGCATCATTGACACTACCTGTGTGAGAACTACTCACATGAGAACTGTTTGCAAGATTTGGATCCTGAAAGAACAGATCTGTCAGCCCTTTAACATATTGCAGGATCACTTTCCATTGTGTTACTCCATATTAGGGTCCACTGATACCCTTATGCATACAGAATAGTACCTTACTCAGCAAATCCTCAGTTGAAAGCCCTGGGAATATTCAATGAGACAGGGAATATACATTATGAAGAAAGGTATCAGTTGAGCCCAAAGGAAACACTGGGGATAAAACTGGAGTAATACAATAGTGAATCTGGCCCAGATTGCATAAAAAGCTGATTATGTGCTGGAGCAGCAACAATAAAATAAAGTTCTGAAAAATGGTAGAAATAATTATGATTTCACAAAGATAGAAATTATTCTTTTAAATAAGAACAAGATTACCCATTTGTTTTTCTTTTGGAAAACTGTCCTATTGGATATAACAGTGATGCACACAAGAGGATAAAATATTTTTCATGTTATGTCTTCCTGTTACTTCCACTTTTGCTGATTGATGACTCTCTTTTTATTAGCTTTTGATTTTGCAAGGCTAAATCAAAAGCAAGGTCCCAAAAGAGAGAAGCAGTGATATGTGACCATTCAACATAGCTGCCTGTCTTTTGGTCCACTATAGAATATTTTTAAAACATCAAAAAAATTCAGTTCCTAAGGACAGTAATCAATCCTGGTTAGCTGAGAAACTGGAGCCCATGTTGGCTGTGTGCTTGGCAAATATCCACTTTCCTGTGTATTACAAGTTTAAGTAGAAACAGAGCTAGGCAACAACAGGCGGCCTCAGGCTCCAGAAACGTATCCTCTCCTCCAATACAAAATGTATAATTCATAGTTAATACCTCATCTATGCCCAAACAAAACCAAGGGCCCTGTTTTGCCCTTACTCACACTGTGCATGCCTTAGAATTTAGCATAATTTAAACAAAATATAACATAACTCTTTCACAGAGGTCACATGATGTCGATATTCTCTTCTTTGCAATTTAGGACTTATAATTTTCAGAAGGTTTGACTGCATAAAGTACTGTGCATGTCCCAGAGGCATAAATGAGAAAGTACTCATGGAGCTAAATAACTAGGGAACAAATGGAAAGGGGAAAAAAAGCCATTCTCCAATTTTAAAAAAAATTATAAATGGCCCACTCCTGCAACAGAAGTTGCATGTGTTAGAACACTGGTAGCACTGGACTCATATGCGTTCCAGAAGGTTTTAAAACAAAACTCACATCTTTCATATAGCTTTGTAGGCTATCCAAGTATCTTCCCAGCATAGAAAAACCTCTGGGTGGCACAGGGCTCTTTGCCACTTCTGTCCCCCTGTCTGGGTTGAGGAGAGTGACCCAGGACTTGGCCGGTGAACATGTTGTGGCTGAAACGTTGCTGTGCTGATGATCATCAGCTTCTAGAGCAACCCCTGTAGGTGGCCATTCTAGCCTGGCACATATAGCCTAAACATAATGCTGCTATAACTAGTGCCAAAGGCCATGCTATCCCCTGATAGGCCCGAAATTCAAGGGAGCATAAAGGACATCCGGCCAGTGCTATTAACTGGTGTGAGAGGAGACTCAGACCCATTATCTGTAGATTCTGAGAACTTCACTGCAGATATTAAAAATGAAGTCTTGAGATCAAAGGGTCCAAAATATGCTGCCAGTTATAGTTGTATGGCTGTACTGATTTTGATGAAGCATGACTTAGAGCAACACTTATGGAAAAATCCTATAGTAGAAATATTTTTGTAGGACTCTATTGACATTAATAATGGTCCTTAATGGTTACTTTAAAGACCTATAAAATTAAATAGAAAATTATACCCTTCTATGGTTTTTTTTAACTGTCTTGTAGAATTCTACAGAAGGAATATAAATCTCCATTGAAAATCTGTAGGATAGCTGAAAGAACCTTTAGGAAGGTTATTAATTTGCTATTAATTTCTACAGGATTTTCTGCCAAAGGGAATTTAGCCCCAGATGTTTTCAGTATTATTTCAAAATGACTCTTGAATTAGCAGTAAAGCAGAGTGCTGATCTGTTCCTGGCCTCAGATTTGAAATGGCTTTTGCCAAAATGTGCAGAGTTCTCTGAATTATCAAAGGAGCTATATTTTAATATCTGGGCCCAGAGGTTTCAGCAGTGTTAGTGGGAGCTGCATGATGAAAGCTCCATTGGGAAAGTTTCCCTTTCCTCCTCCTTGCTTCACATCTATACCTTGTATTATATACTATTCCACTGCAACTTGATCGCAATTCAACATTAATCAGGGCAGTATACAGAAACTGGAAGAGCTATTCACCTCTGCAACAGATTTGAAAGTTACAGCTAAGTTCAGATAAGCATGTTCACTTTCCAGGACTTGTCTGAAACCTCCAGAACTTTTGATCCTGCGTACCAAGATTTTCCAACCCCATGGTGCACTCTTAGTGCACAAAACTGCAAGGAAGCTCAGTAAAATTAAACATTTTAAAAGACAATTTAGTAGGATGTAGTGAAGGGACCATTGTTCATATACATCTTCAGTATTTTACTGTAATATCCCAGGCAATACAGCTCATAAAGTGATACCACAGTATTTTGGACTATTGCATCCTTTTATTTTGACATGATGTGTCCTGCTGAGACCTATCTGCTATAATGAAGAAAGGAGCAAGCCATCTGGCCACCTTCTGACTGAAGAGGACCTTTGGTGGGAGAGGGAAGTGGGCCAACTTGCAATCCTTGAACAGAAGGCCTGCTACTGGAGGTAAGCAATGGGGGTTGGAGTCAAGGGACTTTGTGGTACCTTCGGAATGCTTCAGTTCAGATTATGTTTTAAACATAGGCAAAGGTTTAGTCAGGTTCTTATTGTATCCAAATCAGTTCACTCATCGTTAGTGCGAGGAGCTCATTTTAAAACATTTTTTTTAAAGTCAGGCTTTGAGTCTGTCATTTTTAAAAATGTCCCTTGAAAAATGTGGTGGGTGTGTTTACATAAAACCATAATATTGCTCACAAAGGTATATGGGAGGGTACAGTACTAAGTATACAGCTCTGCTATCATTTAGTTGAACTGATTAGACTTTGATCTGCCCAGATTAGGCATTATAACCAAAAATCACTGAGCTTTTGAGAGTGTTATAATCTTTTGATTCATACATCTGCATTCAGTTCTACTGAAATGAGGAAAAAACTCATAAGTGGTTTTATGTTGTCCATATAAAAGGACTGAGCAGTTGTTTACTATCAGGCACAGTAAATACTGCTAATATAAATTACACATAAACAAGGTGATCCGTTGCCAGAGAAAGCTCTATGATACTTATCAACTAAACAGTTAATTCATACGATTCACAGAGAATGTTTCATTCCTATATATAAATGGACAATTTGTTCCAAAATCTCTGTTATATATACCTCAGTATATAATATAGGCACTAAATAGAAATAATGCACTATAATGAACAGCAATTGTATCATATACTGTAATTATTTAAGTTCCTAAATCAGTTCCTGTATTTAAATAGATTGCCCCTTGTGATCCCCAATTTAAGAATCTTTAGTTTTCAGGAGCCAAATGTTTTAAGATCATAATGCTATACAAGGTTTTGCAACTATAGTCTAATTTTGAAATAAAATGTGAGCTGCTTAGAATTTTGGAATTATATCTTAGTCTCCTTCATTGAGATATTACTTTGGCGTCTATTAAGAGTTTGCCTTCAGCTGGGAATTATTGGGCTTTTTTGTTGTTGTTGTTGCCTTCTTTGTTGTTTTTACATTTAAAAGCTGTCTGATTCTAAAATGAAGCTATTTAATCCCTTGTCATCACATGGCCATAAAAATTGCAGGCAGACAGAAGTTAGCAATGGTTGCTTCACAGGCCCCACAGCAATACATGGTAACAGATTTTCAAAGCAGTTCAAAGAGTCCAGTTTCCATCTGTGTTTGGTGAAGGGTGCAAAAACCTCGGGGCCATCTGAAAACTCTGCTTCATCTCTAACACTTGGAATAACAAAGGTGTTATTTTTCAAAGCCACATTCTCCCCTCCTGGGGTGGCTCTGCAGATATAGTTCAGGGAAGGTGGAAAACTTCAGAGTAGATATTCTCCTTCTAGACTTTGCCTTCTTCAGGGAGTTCTTTTGAGGATGTCACAATAGTGGCCTATATAACATGGGTTACTGCCAGCAGAGGCCAACAGTTAATGAACCCTATAGACAAATTCTTTCTTCAGATTTCTGTGCAAAAATCTGCAGAAAAACAGCATCCAGGTTATTTCTGAGCCCTGGAGTGTTATTTAATCAAAAGAAAGCAGAGGGTGCTCTATACCCATAGTACAAGCCAACATATGCCATACGTCTCCATTTCATTCTGCTGTGCCAGTATCACTAAACACCACATTATGAAAACGATAACTTAAAGATGGTTGGATTACTTTATTCCTAATAAGTTGCCGATTGCTAATGTTTGCCTGACCTTTGCAAATAAGGCAAACCTTCAACTCATTTATTTTCACTTTTGGTATCATTTTTTAATTTATTCTTTGTACATAGAGCACATTTATACAGGATGCTAATATAAGGAAACTGATCAGTAGCATAAAGCAATAGCATTTACTAGATTCTCACTGTACTATCAATACACTTAGTTATTTACCATCTGTTACTGTATTTCTTGTATCCCGTATTTATCACACAAACATATGTGACCTCTCCTATATTGGGAAAACAGAATGGAGAATAAGTCAGCCAGAAAATACCAGTTACTCTCAATCATAAGAGTAATAACTGTAGTTTCTTGCTTAAACACCAGAGTTGCTTAAGTAGTCCAGTGTTGTGAGGTAATAAGGTTTTTTTCAGCCCTTATGCTCATCTGAGAACAGGACATGTATTATTTATGAGCATTTTTGTTTTGCACAAATATTGCAATGCACGTGCTTTACTTGTACATTTAGGTTTGTCTCAATGCTCACTAAGGGTCTGATCCACTTCCATCTGAGTCCATTAGGAATCTTCCCATTGACTTACATGGATTTTGGATCAGGCCCCAAGGGTTGAATTCTTCCCTGACTTATACAGAAGGTAATTCTATAGGGGTCCATGGAGCTGCAGGGAGTGTAATGCTATTTGATTAGTTAAAACTGATATTACTAGAGTTTGAGAGAAGGAATATTCTTGTGTATTTGGGGTTTGGAAAATGATAGCTAATCAAAAGGGACATAAAAAAACACCAAAGCTGTTAAAGGAGTCACACATATGGGAATCTTTCAAATGGCTAAATCAATTCCATTCTGCTGCTCGGGGCACAAGAGTCTAAGGTTCCATTGTAGTATGTACACATTTGCAGAACCAGAACAATGAAAGCACAATTCATAAGAAGAGAGGAGAATGACACTAAGTCCCCTCTATACCACTGAGACTGAGGTGTTCTACTGAGAGGAGTTCAATAAGCTCTCCACCCCAGGAACAGCTTTGAGAGAGTGGCTTCACTATCCCAACAACTCATCCAGCAGAGCCAGCCCAACAGCCAGAGAGCCCAGGCAGCCCGTCCAGAATGCATGAGAGCAAGGCAGAAATTCCAGCAACGAGTGAGGCTGGGAATCTAAGACCAGCAGAGACACCAAAGCTATTAGTGAGTAGGGAAGGATGGTATTTTTGGGTGGGAAGGAGGCACTTTCAAGTTGTCCATTGTTCTATCTGTGATGGTTCTTATACAGTACCCATTACCACGGTAACCAAGTGCCTTAGAGAAGGAGGAAATCTACTTTGGGGCCATACATGTACTGTTACAACACTGGTTTCTCTGACTAAATTATTAATGTCAGATCCCCAAGATGGCATAAATTGCCATTGAATTCAGTTGAACGATACCAATTTACACCATCTGAGGTTCTGGCACTTAGTCTACAATTTTTATGAATTATTATAATAGTGCTGCATGTACTAAATACTGTACAGCCCACAACATGATATCCACAATGACCCAAGGAGCTTACAGATTACCAAAGATCCTAGAAACCCATTTGCCGCAGAAGAACGCAGAATTTGCATTTTTAGAGAATCTTTAGATTTTACATTTTGTGGAAAAATAAGAACATATGTTAACTATAAACTATTTTTTACGGAAAGTATCAGTGTCACTTATTCAATGCTTGCAACTTCCCCTTGTTGTAGGTGATTTTTGAATGTGCTTTACATTTACAATGGAACTCTGTTTTATCCAATCTAATTGGGACCGGGGCCAGATCAGATAATCAAAAATGCAGATAATCAGGAGAACTGGCAAAGAGCTTTCTACCCCTTATTTTAAGATGGGCGGTGGGGCTTGGGAGGTCATCCCCACATGGCTGCTGGTTTGGCTAATATGGACAGCCAGATAATGGAGGCATGATTAAATGGGGTTCTACTTGTATATCAATAAAACATTTTGTTCAACTGATGCCTATATATACTGAGGTTAGGGAAACTAAAGTTCAGTTTTTCATTTTAACTGTGGAAAAATTGTGGAGAATTTTGGGGGGGTTATCATGGAAATCTAGGATCCCTGCACATTACTAAGCTCACCACATTAATATGAATATGAAAGTGCTAAAGGTATTAACTATTTGTTATGTTCTATGGCAGAAAGTTCATTTTTGCAAAGCTGCTTTATGCCTCACAATGTTTGTGATTGAACTCAATTTCGAATTTACTCTCTTCTCCATATTTATGTATAACTCCCATTGAAACTAACAGAGGATACTCCCAGAAGAATCAACCAAATATAAATTACTGATGGCGAATAGAAAAAGTATCAGTTAATGGACTTGACAAGGACCTTAAAATTAAAAATGATTGTGTGGCCATGGACACAAGTTTACACAAGTGTAATTCCATTGACTTCATTATAATTCCTCCCAATTTTCATATCGGGGTGAGAGGAGAAACAGACCCTACAAATGCATACATGTCAAGCTATGTATACAGATATTGCCTGTGTATCAGGCAACGGAGTAGTAAAGCTAAGAACAACAGTTTTAGCTGAAGGGTTTAAACATCACAAAGCTACCATATATTTTACCATTGATTATTATTTCAATGGCGTTTGCTGTACCTCCTCGTTGGATTAGATGTTGTACTGATCTCTGCCAATGACCTCTCAGAAGCAGTTGTGCTATAAATATTTCACTTTCAGTGTACAGCCTGCTGAAATATATCTTTATTTCATGACCATCATTGCTGACTACATTTCAGATATACCTAGAGTTAAACTTCAAACACAATTCACATTAGGTAATCAATGGTTAAATCCGATGTAGATACCAAGAGAAAAATCAATAATGTAACACCCAGTCAATACAAAAGGTCAATAATAATATAAACAGGCAAGAGTTGCACTTTACAAAAGACAATGTGAATTCACTGGTATGTTTATCAGAGATAACATAGCACAGGAACTCTTGATATTCATGGGTATTGTCAAAATACCTATAACTATCCATGGGCATTCAAAATTGGTGGGGGGTTGCCATGCTTTGAAGCCATCCTCACAGATACCACACATGAAATCACAGAATCAGCCAACCTGGACTGGCAATTCAATTCTTTGTAGATGTATTATAGGACAGTACTCCAGGGAATTCAGAGAACAGCATGTTGTGTTCACTGAGCTCAGGCTAATGCAGATATAAAACTTGCTTCTTATTGCCGGCCTCATAGTAGCTTTATATGGGGAGATACCCCCACTGCATTTGAATGATTAAGCTACTTCAACACTTACACTGACTTAAT